AGTACAGGAGAACAGAGAGACACACCCAGCAGAAGACCCACACAGCATCAGCTCTCACCACCCAGGGAGCTGGCCAGCGCCTACACTCATTTGCATTTCCATCGCACAGCCTTAAGGCAGTGCTTTATTTACTTTTATTTTTTTATTTTGCCATTAAAGTAAAGCATATGAAGAAGGGACATCATTCATTTGCATTTCCATCGCACAGCCTTAAGGCAGTGCTTTATTTACTTTTATTTTTTTATTTGGCCATTAAAGTAAAGCATATGAAGAAGGGACATCAAATCACAGCCCACGCAGGACTCGCCTGACTCCGCTGAGACAGCTCATCTTCCCTTCCCCTCTTTCATGGATACCCATAAGAGCTACAATCTTGTACCGTCCGAGTGCCTGCTTGAGAAGCTTTGAGGATCCTGACTGCCCACAGAGCAATGACCCAGACTCAAACCGCATTCAATGTCCGATGCAATCTGGCTTCCATGTACATTTCTACCATACAGTGGGTACGACAGAGTCTTTTCCACACCGAGACTGGTTGATCGAAAGATAACGGAAGTCTGATGCGCTGTACAGAGCAAGTAACAGAGGCAGAGAATAGGTACAGTGAGGGGTGCTACAGCACACACTCATGGAGACAGAGAGAGAGAGAGAGAGAGGGAGAGAGAGGGAGGGAGGGAGAGAGGGAGGGAGGGAGCAGTTATTTAGCTCTTAGACAGCTTGAAAGGAAAATGATGAAGATGTGAATTGTGCAAACACACAATTGGCAGAAGCAGGTCCTTTCTATTTTAATCATGGCTGAGTCGGGCTATGCTTTTGAGAATCAAGGTACATCCTAGTCGTTATGACTCATTACTATGATTCATGACACTGCAGCGAATGGAGAAGTACTGGAACAGAGATGGCTGAAAAGCTCTCGGCAGAACCACAAGAAGAACTTAAATAATGTGCAAAATGCAGGCAACGCTTGCCTTAGGGGAAATTAGGTATTAGTGTGTCATGAGGCCGCTAGAGTTATGAATATGCACAGCAGCCTCAATGTTTTTCAGCCTTGTACCAATGTAATTCAGAAGATCCATAGCAACAGTAGTTCACTAAGTGTCCAAGCACCTGTACCTGGACCAGCACGCGGAGCAAGCTAGTTGGCTGGCGCAGCCAAACCGGCAAGATCTATGTTAACTGAGAGAAACTGCCTCAATGTATGATGACCGTTCCCCTCAACAACCTAGAAAGACACACGACGTTAGTTTGGGCCTCGACACACATGTGCATCCCCCACAAGTATGCTCGGACACATTAAAAATACACAAATGTACACACTTAACAATTTCTGAGCTCTGAAACAAACTGAAATACCCCTTGTATACTAAGTCAAACGTCATAATTCCATTCGGCATCCTGTGGCTACTGGTGAGGTAGCAATGCCTTTGCCTCCACCTAGGAAAAGGATTTAGTCCACATCCATCTCCCTGACCGGCTGGCTGAAGACACAAGACTGGCACCAGGTGTCACTGATCAACCTCTCTATTAACCACTGGATGTTTTAGAACTGTATTTTCAGAAGCATGGGTAATCATGTGAGAATAAACAACACATGAGACAGAAACTGTTAGAATTAAAAAGAAATCAACTTGTAATAAACTAAACTCGGGCCAAAGTTACCTTTCCAGGAGAGCGTGAATAGCTTTTAGTTTCTACAGCAAATAACAAATAACGTACATTTTTCATTAGTAGTTCTCAACCTTCCTAATGCTGCAAGCCTTCAGTGCAATCCCTCCTGTGGTGAGGACCTCAATCATGGAATCATTTTGTCAATACTTCATAACTGTAATTTTGCTACCTAATGGGATGTAAATAGCTGATATGCAAACGCCACCAGGCTGGCAGCCCACAGGTTGAAAACCACTGTTCCAAACAATGTTTCCCCATCGGGGGTGCCAGGAATTAAACCCATATCTTGTGCATGTTAGACAAGCGTTCTATCTCTGAGTTACATTCATAACCATGCCCAATTTGCCCCCCAAATAAAACAAATCACATAACAATTGCCAGAGCATGGTATCCTAAGCATGGTATTTTTGATACACGATGGCTTCTGATGGTGAAAGTTTACACACACACATACACACATACACACACACACACACACACACACAGAGCTAATGACTTTCATTACATTTATTTATTTGCAGGCGTGTGGAGTGCGTGCGTACTGTAAGAATCTCCTCTCCCTTTCCACGTTGTGGGTCCTCAGATGGTTACACCAGGCCATTCTGAGCAGCCCACCAATTGGTCCTGTCACACGACTTCGCAGAAATGATTGCTGCACGTTCCTTTCTGTCAGTGTGAACTGTAACGTTTTGGTGTTTTAGTTAGTATTAAAACCAAAAGAAGAAGGAAGTTATCTCATCTATGGGGAAGGGAGAAGTCAGATTGAGCAAGAGGCCTCTTGAAGGACCGTGGCTTTGTGACTCTCAGACAAGGGCAGGCCGTATAGTCAGCTCAGTGGTCAACAAGTAAGACATTCACCAAGAACGCCATTGTTTTGTTTTGGCTTGCTGGAGACAGGCTGGAGTTGAACCGACAATCTTCCTGCCTTTGCCTCTTGAGTGCTGCGATTACAGAGGTGCATCGCCACGCTCTGCTCACAAATTAAACACCCTTTATAATCATCCTTATGGTCACACCGTATTATATGTGACGTATGCTAACGTAGTAAGAGTGTGGCTTTCTTGAGAAAGCCAGAAAGAAAGAAAGCGGTAAGTTGGAAACAATCACCAACATGTATGGCACAACATGAAAGAAAACCAGCTATGGTTAGTGCTGCTTTTCTATCGTTTTATTTTAATCCACTAACTAATTAGTGCTGGGGGGTTTCGTAAGCGCCAGATATGAGCATACATATCTACCATACGCGCTAGGCTCATGACTGGTCCTCAGAAATAAACAAGGTGCTATCCACAAGCTGGAAAAACGAGAGATTGATATGAACATTTGTCAGATTCAGACTTTTTTTTTTTTTTTTAATCAGTTGGGACGATTGCTGTAAAAGAAGAAAATTCAATTGATTCGTGAATGGTTAATGATAACGGACTCTTCAAAACTGCCAAGTCATCTGGGGATTCTACGTCAAACATATTGTGGGCCTATTTACGCCTCTGGAAAGAGGGTTTTCACGTGAGAAAACCCAGGTGCCCTGTGATTCCTCCGAAGGGTCATCTCAGCTTACTGGCTGTCTGTTCAGGGCACAGACTGGGGGGGGGGGCATGATTTCAGTATGAACACTTCAGAGTCAGAGAGACCGACAGCTGAGAAGCGTGACCTCCAGTCCTAGCGCCCGACCGGCACAGAGTGAAACTTTCTGAGGTGACGGTAAGCGCTTAACTTACCACCACAAGTCTAAAAACAGAACAGCCAAAGAAAATGGGACGTTTTAAACAAATGTATCACAGTGTGCCATTAAAGAAAGAAATGCTACAGCTGGCAGATGAACCTGCAGAAACCCTGCATCACGAACGTGTCCCTGCACGCTTTAGAGCATTCGGATGTCACCACTGCCAGGTGAGGGACCCCTCCGGTGAAGACACTGCTCTGGTAAGAGGTGGCCTGTAGGCAAAACTGACCCCAGAATGACCCCAGACCACAACAGGTATCAGGAACACCAGATAGCTCCCAGCAGGGCAGGGCAGGACAGCTGTGAGCTCAAGGTGAACCCGGGGCACAGAGTGGAACCCAGTGTCTGAGGGGGGAGGGAGAGGGAGAAGGGGAGAGGGAAGGGGGAAGGGAGGGACATAAGAACCACCTGTCTCAGGAGATCGGAAGGCTTCACTATGGGGTTTTAGCTGGGAGCACATCAGCTAAGGGAAATGAATGGCGCAGTCTACCTGACATGACTTAACACAGGGCCTACAGAGAGACTGGAGGAAGCTGCACAACGCCTTAAGGTGGCCAAAGTCCTGGTCACTCCTTCAGAAAACCGGGCTTGGGGTGACATAGCAACAGGTCTGCAGTGGGGGCGTGACTGTCTGTTTCCCCCTTCGATGCCGTGCGTAGTCCTATAAACCCATAAGGAGATTAAAACCGGGTTTGCTTGTTTTGTCTTGTTGTTTTTTTTTTTTTTTCCAAGACAGGGTTTCTCTGTGAAACAGCCCTGGCTGTCCTGGAACTCGCTCTGTAGACCGGGCTGGCCTCGAACTCACAGAGATCCACCTGCCTCTGCCTCCCGAGTGCTGGGATTAATGGCGAGGGCCATCAACCATCGCCTGGCAAAACTATTTTCTATGTGCAGTAGTTACAAATTTATTTCCATGAATTCAGAGGTTTACATTCACGTCAGGAAGCATCGGCCTCAACCACGTGCTCCGAGTGTCCTTTAAAATGTTTCCTAAAGTGTAATGGCTTCCCGTGGACATGGGGGAGAGGAGGAAATCTCCAGATTAGGGAACCAAAACCTTCGGCATCCTCCACTCTTCCCTCTCTGGCCACAGACACAATGATGCTGGTCCCCTCGGACCCACTGACTTTACCGTCACCTCATCCGCCCCCCACCCCCACAACCGTGTCTTTTACATGGCAAGTGGAGCTCAGAGCGGGCCAGAGTTCTTCATTCTCTGTCATCCTCCTCCTCTTCCTATGAATTAGACAACCGATGCCATTTGAAAACAACACTGACCAAAAAAAAAAAAAAAAAAAACAAAAAAAAAACCAACAAAAAAAAAAAAAAAAAAAAAACCCTCATCTAAAACCTTCACCAAAGCAGCTCTGAAACTTGAGACCAACTGGCCCCCTTTGGCTTTATTGTGACTTTCCGAGTAAAGGCCCTATTTTAGTCCCTAAGGAAGGAACATCAAGCTAACCTGACATGGGGAAAACAATACTAGGGGACAGAGGTATATGACCCACAATCCAAGCCTGACTTTTTTCCTTCCTTTCCAAAAAAAAAAAAAAAAAAAAAAAAAAGAGGGGAAACCAGGGGAAGGAAGTTAAAAAAAAATTACACTTACAAGTCCACTTATGGCTACAATCCAGATGTAGGAACCAGAGGTGAAAAGCTACAAAAGAAAACAAAAAGCAACTAAAAATGAAATCCAACTGGCAGCCACAGCACACTTAATTTCACACACTGCAGTGGTAGCCACAGGAATTACATACACGTTAATCATGCACCGCATAATTCAGGGAAGCGATTTAAAAACGGAGGGGCAGCAATTCTGCTTACTGACGTTAGTCTTTTCACTGAAGACCCCAGGCCTTCTGTGTCTGATAACACATGTGTTGAACCTGGCCCCTGACACGCAAAGGAAAACAATTGACTTAGCCGACTTATAGCAAACAACCGCAAGTGAATAATTAGCATCAACAATGTGGAAGGAGCAGCTGCTGTCCACACTTGGTGCTGGGTGACCAACGGCCTACGACAGCCGGCTGTTCTGTAACATTCTAACTTCTCACCATAGCTTCGTGTATCACAATGGAGAGCTTGCAGCATCTCCAGCATCTAAGTCCACGCCCGGTGGTGCCCTCTAGTCCACCCAAGGCAAGAGTAAGCCGGCAGCATATTACAGCTTCAGTTCAGCGTCTTTACGGGACTCCTGAGTATGCGGACAAGTGAGGAGTCCCTGGTTCTTGTACCTTCCGTTGGGGCTCTTTGCCTTCTGCTGCTTTGCCTTGTCCAACTTCTTTGTGATATATATATATATATTTTTTATCCTATTATGTTTTGTTTAAAAAGTAAAATTAAAGTTGTTAGGATTGAGAAAAAAAAGAGTATGCTAGTAGAAACAAAAGTTTTAACCGATGTAAAAGTATGAAGGGCATTAGAATTAGACCTCATGAAATTTCCTGTTTTGTTTTCCAAATCTTTATCTGAGAGACTTGCTCAAGGTTCTGAACAAAGCATCTCAAGTGCCCTGGGAGAGTAAAGGGGTCTGCTGCGGCTTCTGGCTTAGTCTTGGAAGGTTCGGTGGGAGCTGCAGGACCATGGAGAGAGAAAGTGGATGCTGAACAGCACAGCTCAGACCCACGGCTGACACTGCCAGATGGGAACTTGAGGGCTCTGCACAGGTGACACGGAACACAGAACACACAACACGGAACACAGAACACACAACACGGAACACAGAACACACAACACGGAACACAACACGGAACACAGACAGACATGGAGGGGAAGGCGGCTGCGGGCTCCGCTCCAGCACCCACCCACAGGGAAGGAGCTGTGGCTGCCACTGTCTGAGTGACTTTCTGTCTGTCTGGCATGCAGCTAGGCCAGTGTACACCCAGCTCTCTCTCTCTCTCTCTCTCTCTCTCTCTCTCTCTCTCTCTCTCTCTCTCTCTCTCTCGTAAACAAGGATAAGGGCCACGTGGACAAGCAGTTGCTCTTGTGAGAGGCGGCATCCCAAACCAGCCATCACTCTCTAGAGCCGGGCACTACTCTCCAGGAACTTCATTTACTCACTCAGGTTTCTCACCAGCCAATGGGGGGGGGCACACTGAATGCTTGCCCGGGGTCAGGCAGGGGTCAGGCAGTAACAGCAGGTTTGAATGGGGTGCTCTGCCCCACGGCTCTGTAACCCTCACCCGTTTGCCTCTCATACACAAGTCAGATAGCCCGTCATTTGTCAGTAAAAGAATAACTTCTTGGGTCTCTGACGTCCCTCGCCTTGCATTCTGAAAGGGTGGAAATGAGCCTCCGGGTAAGCGAGCACCTCACATCTTTGAGCCACCATCCGATGGCTTACATGTGTGTCCCCAAACACGCACTCTGGCTCTTACGATGGCTAAAGTTACTTGCCTGCCCAACCATCCCTCTGTCTAATGTTCTTGGCTTCGAGTATCCGTGGTAGGGAGAGAGAAAGCCAGCGAACTATGCATGAAAGGGGCTGGATTTTGGGGGAGATGTGGCTCAGGGCATGAGCGCCTACCGTACAGGCACAGCGACCCGAGCTCAGATCCCAGAACACACAACAAGTCCGCACAGTGATGTGTGGGTGTGACCCATCACTGGGAGGGTTGGGGAACAGAACTGATGAACTTCAAATCAGTGAATGGCCCCAGCCAATCAGGAGACCCCTGGAGTCTACCTTTGGTTTCCATGCATATGTGCAAACACCTAGGGCGACAAGCGGAACACACAAACACACGCACATGGAGTATGAGAGCAAGTGCAGGGTGTGTGTGGGAGAGGAGAGGACAGGTAGAAACTTTCAACACTGCCTTCACAGTGACGAGCATGGAAATGGTACTGCTCAGACGGGGACCCAGGCCGTCACTCTCGGGAAGGGCTCGATTGTGCCCGGAAGCACGTGACGGCCCTCCACTTCCAGCTAACGACGCCACCTTCTACCTTACAACGTGGGTGTGAGTACTACGAGAAAGGAAGAGACTTACACTGATTTGGAAACCTACCCGAGGTGGTGGCGTTGACATCTCTACCTTGGGGCAGGGCTAAGAGGCTGGAAGTCACCAAGCCGAAATCCCTGCGATCCTACGGACTTCCACCTACCCCATAACGAATAAAGTAAAGCCCTTTGTGTCCTTGATGGGAGAACTGGAGAGTGAGCAGGAGACTCAGGGGGCTTTGGAAGTTGGCACACATTTCACCGCCAGAGAAAGCCAAGGCAAGACAGAGTGAGTCGCGACAGTGACCCGCGAGCCACGCCGTGGGGTCTGAAAGGTGAGGGTAAACACCTACCCCACGTGAGACAGCAGCCTGGAGAAGCTGGAGGAGATGCTGGGGAGCAGGCGCCTCACTGTGGCACCGCTGTCTGGGCTGGTGCGTGCGGGATAGGAACACTACGATGGGGGGGGGGGCAAAAGGCCAAGCTACACAGATGGCACAGGAAGCTGCAGACTACTCAAAAGCCAGCCGTGAGAGGAAAAGGACAGAAAGTGACAGAGAGGCTGAAGACGGAAACCTGGAGAGCACCGGAGTCTTCTGGCACAGGCCCGAGGCTGCACACTGGGTTTTCAAGTCAGACAAAGAGGCCCCTGTGTGGCTTCACAGCAAGGCAGCTGTAAAAGGCATGACCCGGCCACCGTGTCTGAACAGACAGAGACAGACCGGAGTGGGAGGGGCCACTTCCACCCTCCCCTCTTCTTTGCAGGAGGGGGGAGCATGCCGCATACTGAACCTGGAGTCTTGGACACGCTGGGCGCGTGCGCTACCACTGAGAGGCGTCTTAAGTCTCTTCCCGCGTTACGTGACTTGTATTCTTTTTAATTACATGCGTATGTGTGTATCTGTGTGTGAGGGCAGGAGACACGCTACATCTCCCGGAGCTGGAGTTACAGGCAGTTATGAGGGGCCTGAAGCGGGGTGTGGGGTGTGCTGGGAACTGACCTTGGGTCGTCTGTAAAAGCAGCACACATTCTTAACTGAGCCATCTCTCCAGCCCCTTCTTTTTCCTGGTTGGTTTTTTTTTTGTTTTGTTTTTGTTTGTTTAAATTTTGAGACAGGGTCTTGCTCAGCTGCCCAGGGTGCCCTGAACTTATTCTGTGGCCCACTCTGACCTGGGACCTAAAATCCTCCTGCCTCTTCCTCTGGCTACAGGTGGTGCTTCTTGCCAACTCCGCAGCGCAGACAGGCAAAGCGTGCTGGGCTTCTTCTCACAGCTTTGTATGCAGCTCAGTACACGATACACCAACTGTGAGTGAGACCGACTTTCCGTTTCCCACTGTTCTCTCTATTTTCCACTCCAGGCTGTGATTCTCAGATGCAGTTGCATACAAATGCACGACTGAGTGAAAATACTTTCCACTGACGCTGGCGACAGTGAAAGCTTTTATCACATTTCTAAAGGCTACGGAAGCATTCTAGCACCTTCTACACCTTGCCCCGAGGCTCTATCTCTCTCTAACACTTCCTCTCTGAGCACGATACAGATCAAGAAGCCAGACTTATGGAAACACTGTTGAGGGAGAAATGTGAACATAAAAAAAAAAAACAAAACAAAACAAAACAAAAAAACAAAAAAAGTATACCGTACCTGTAGTCCCAATATATAAATCAACGTCTTGTTTGTGATGGACAGCGGGCCCAGAATCTGTGCCACTTGGACTCGTGGGATGGAGCAGTAAAATGGTACAAAGAGAGCAAACACGGGCGCCAAGCTGTGCAAACAGACAAAGAAGAAAAACCACAGTGAGAAGGGATTCCAAGCGGGCAGAAAGGCATTCGAGGAACCCCATTTACACTCATCTCAGTGTGAGATGCCCACGTCGTTCTTCAACCGCCCACCACGGGCAGGTGTGTGCGACACTTTAAGGCAGCAAACTATCCTGTGCTCATAATTAACCATAAGGCACCGTGAGTAACCCTGAAGTAGACGCTGTGTCCCGTTCCCACGGACGGCCTGGGATCTGACGAAAGAGACTCTGGGCAGCGCTGCAATCCTTCACGGTCAGACTCGGGGCGGCCATCCAGCCGCGGCCGGACCCCTCTTACCACTCGCGCTCTCTATTCCTCAAATCCCTTCCCCTTTTTGTCTGAAAGCTGTTCCCTTGAGGGGTTCCCTACGACTCCTCACACCACACCGCCGCCGTAGCCCTCCCAAGGACAATCTCGGCCCGCCCCGTGGCTCCCACAGGGCAATGGGTTAGTCCTAACAAGGCAGGCAGCACCAGGCTCCACAACTCTACTGCACACTTAGTGGCATCTCTAATCCCATGGTCACATTCCTGGCAGGAGTGTCACTGCACAACAAGAGCTCTTCCTGCCAGGCCCCAGGCGTGTGCACAAGACAGGTGTCTGCTCAGTCGCATCAGTCACCGGGCCATGGGAAGTCCCCTTTCCACGGGCCCCCAGTGTCCCAAACTTAAAAAAGGAGCACTGCCCTTTCCCAAAGCTGGACCCACACAAAGTGCACTCTTGCGGCCCGGCCCCCTTTCTCCCTCCCTCCGCTCCATAACTGCCCCCACAGCCCAACAGTCGTTTGCTGGATGCGGGCTGCTCGGGCTGGCATGGGTGATCTTCCCACGGCTTCCTCTTTACTCCCTGCTTAGCCAGCTCTGCTCACCCTGCTCAGGCCGGCTTCTCTGACTCCTCCTGGCAGTTAACAGCTTTCCTCTTCGCCCCTGAGTCGTGCGCGTCTGGATGTTTCAGTGAGCTGGGCATGCCAGAGAGCACCCAGCACAGTCTCTGTCTGCACCTGGAGCAGAAGCAGCCCCTCACCTCAGGGTCTCCTTCCAGGAATGCAGACTCCCTCCAACAGGGCTGGCGTTCCCCCCTCCCCCTCTCCCTCCCTCCCTCTCCCTCCCTCTCCCTCTCTCTCTCTCTCTCTCTCTCTCTAAGAGCAGAATGGTTTGGGCACACCCTTGTAACCATTTTCATTAAACCCTTAATTGGTCAATATTTTTCAGTTTTGAAGATGCACCAACACAATAATTTCATGGTCCTGAGGAAGAACTACTGTTCACTTGTAGAAAGAAACATTCTCACAGCACACCATGCCAGTAACACAGCGCCTCTCTTGGTTTTACGTATATTTTCTGATTCTGATAGCAACTATGTTATAAAAATCTTCCTTCTCTTTTGTTTTCTACTGAAAAGAAAACTAATATAGACACCGAGACCGCATAAACACAAAGCAGCTGTAATAGGTATGAACAAGAATGGAACAACACACCACACACTTCACACACACACAGTGCATACACACATACTTCACACACACATCTCTCTCACACACACTCACACACACTCACACAGTGCATACACACACACACTCACACACACACATCTCTCTCACACACTCACACACACTCACACAGTGCACACACATCTCACACTTCACACACACTTCACACACACTCACACAGTGCATACACACACTCACACACACATCTCTCACACACACTCACACAGCGCACACACATCTCACACTTCACACAACCTCACACACACAGCACACACATCTCTCTCTCACACACACACACATACACACCACACACATACACAGCACACACACGTATCTCACACACACTACACACACACTCACACAGTGCATATACACACACACCGCACACACACACTTCACACACACTCACACAGTGCATACACACACACTTCACACACACTCACACAGTGCATACACACACTCACACACACATCTCTCACACACACTCACACAGTGCACACACATCTCACACTTCACACACACACTTCACACACACATCTCTCTCACACACACTCACACACACATCTCTCACACACACTACACACACGTACACATGACACACACAAGAAATATACATGCAAGTCTTCAGTAAAACACTAGCAAAACGAAAACCAGCACACATCAAGATCACCACAGTCAAGCTGGCTCCATCTGGGAAAGGCAGGGCTGGGTCAACATGTAAGTCAATACATACAACACATCATAAATGGACTCAAAGAAAAGCAACACACGACCACCTTAACAGATGTAGAAAAAGCCTCGACAAAACCTAACGAGAGAGTAGGACCCAGGGATCGTTCCTCAAAATGCTAAAGCCTGGATGACAGACCCATAGCCAACATCATCCTAAATTGAGAAGAACTTGAAGCAACCCCCTTCAAGTCAAGAACTAGGCAGGGCTGGTCACTATCCCTATTCCTTTTCAATATAATGCTAGAAGCACTAGCTGGAAGGACAGGGCAAGAGAAAAAATTAAAGGGATACAAAACAGGAAAAGAAGTCAAATTATCTCTACTGGCAGATGGCATACATGAGACCCCAAGAATTCCACCAGAAAACTTCTAGAAATGTTTTCAGCAAAGTCTCTCCCTTTCTCTCCATGTCTCTATCTCTCTGTCTCTGTGTCTCCAACCCCCCACCCCCGTCTCTAGGGTTTCACTGTGTAGCCCTGGCTGTCCTAGAACTCGCTCTGTAGACCAAGCTGACCTCAAACTCACAGAGATCCACCTGCTTCTGCCTCCCGAGTGCTGGAATTAAAAGTGTGCCCTACTACCGTCTGGCCCAACTAGCAGTTTTTCTATAGCTCAAAACCACACACTGAAAATGAGATCATGGACATACTCCCATTTACAGTAGCATCCAAGACAACAAAACGTCTCGGAACAAACCTAACCAGGAAGGCAAAGGACCCTGGTTCGGCAACAGTTCGAATCTGTGAAGAGACTGGGAAACACATCTTGTGTTTGGGCTGGCAGAATTGATATTGTGAAAATGACCATCCTACCTAGGTCAATTCACAGATTCAATGCAATCCCAACCAAATGCCCTCAGCATTCTTCACAGAAACAGAAAAACAATTCTAAAATTCATATGGGACCAAAAGATTCCAGAGAGCCAAAGCACTACTGATCAAAAAGAAAACTGGAGGGGTTGCTAGTCCAGACCCCAGGCTATACGACAAAGCCGTCATAATTAAAACAATATGGTACCGAAAGAAAAACAGGCATGTAAACCAAAGGAACAAAACACAAGTCCCAACATGTGTCCTCATAAGAACAGCCGTCTGATATCTGACAGAGGCAAGGAAACACTGTTCAGCTGTAAAGAGAAACGAAATCACTAATAATTTGCAGGCAAATGGATGAACCTAGGAGAGAGTCATGAAATGAGGTAGCCCAGACCTATAGAGACAAACACCACCAGATCTCTCACGTTCGCAGCCAAATCTTGAGATGTGGGGACATACGCTGGGGTAATGGCAAAACCCAGAGAAGTATAAAGGGACCATGACAGGGGCTGGGGTGTCAGGGGAGGGTTCATACGAGGTATGAAGTGGGACATGGAGTAGCAATGGGGGAGGGGCTCCAACCGGAGAGGAGGGCGGGATTTTAATCAGTAGAAGGAGGGGCAAATAGCGGCAAGGTTGTTTGATAGGGCCTCAAGAATTATGATATTTTATACTTACCTAAAATTATAAACACACACACACACACACAGTGACACACGAGCACACATACACACATGCTTATAATACCACAAAGAAGCAAACACAAATCCTCCTGGGTCTGGAGAGAGGACAGTTAAGACCACTTGTTCTTGCAGAGGCCCTGGGTTCAGTTCCCAGCACCTTCGCCAGGTACCTTACAACCGCCTGTAAGTCATGCTCCAGAGATCACGCACCCTCTTCCGGTCTCCAAGGGTGTCTGCCCATATGTGGCACGCACTCATGCAGACACACACACACACACACACACACACACACACACACACACACACACACACGTACATGTAAATTTAAATAAGTAACACCTTAAGAAATAACAAAACCCTGAGCCGTTAGACCACGGCATTGGAGGCCCTCCCCGCCTCCCCACCCCCAGCACTGGGAAGTTCACAGAAGCTCTTCTGTTTACACTCATCAACGAATGCAACATTAAAAAAAAAGTTATTAAACAGCCGGAAGCACAGTGCTTGCCTGAGGTCACATCTCAACATGACCCCCACCCTCCCAGGAAGAAAAAAAAAAAAAAAGGATGGAAATTTCAGTGCCCACAGCTCTTCCTTACCCAGCAAGAGAAGAAGTGCAAAAATTCCTTACACACTAATCACTGTGCCATTTCTAATGATGACTAAAAACTAGCCCACAGGCAGAAACCCTGCAAAGGGACGTGTCTTGAGCCCGGACCATCGGGTTGTTTTGTAGAAATTTTGTGTGGCTATTTCTGTGTACGCAAGGCCTCACAGAGTACCGTACTGTGATTAGTCACCGGCCAGTTTTTCCCTTTCCCTTATTTTCTGACAACACCTGCTCTTTACACTGGCAACAGCCACTCAAGCTGACCTTTTACAATGTCGGCAGCTAACTTCTGGAAAGCCTTATCTCAGGCAAGGGATAGAGGTACAGAAGAGAGAAGAAAATGATTTAGTAAACAACTGATTCATTCTTCCTACCAGTTACACACTCATGACCACGCTTCAGCGAGCAAACAAGGAACACACCTCACACGAATGTCGACCTCACTTGTATGGGACATCGACTCCACTGGTATAGCATAGAATGGGCAGAGGCAAGGAAGCCGCACTCACTTCTGACAAGTCATGGCTACACATTTGTCACCGGTTGTCATGGCTACAACGGCATCGGCCAGCTGCTGCTTCTTTTTCGTGCACTTATAAGACTACTCTTGTATCAGAGAAAGGGTGGATCCGCCAGGC